CTCCCACAGTTAAAATTTGGGAATTCAGCCGTCCCGAATTTCCTTTGGCTGTACTTCGGCCGTTATTCCAACAGGTATGATTCGGCTTACTAATGGCCATAAGTAAACACTTGACAATTTCACACTCTTCTTCGGCCTTACTGCCATTTTAATTCGACCTTTTATGGCCCCTCTGTTCATCCTGTCTGTGAATTGATGACTCAGCGATTCTTTTGACAAAAGCAATTTACAGGGCTTTATTCATTTTGCGGTTTGTTTGGCTTGTTCTAGGCCGAAAAATTTCGAAAGTTGTTGTTCCCATACCGAAATGAGATATCTTTACAGCCTGGGAAACCCTATTTTTTGAGCAAAAAGATTTTAGGTTTTTAGAATTGCGTTGCTATTTTTTGCAGGATACTGATGATGAAAAAACAGCGCATTATCAAAAAATGTCGACATCAATGGCAAGTTCCAGTAGCATCGCCTCGAATCCTTCCCTCTACGACATGCTCGCGATGTTCTCAGAAACCGAACGCCTAAAACCGGAGGAGTCGTGGTAGGTGTTGAAAATTTTAAAGATTTATACAAATTTACTTTACCCGCTTATACACATACCAATACCAGAACTGTCGTACTGACGAATTCCAGTTATGGTGCTGAATAGAAACGTATACGTTTTAATGAACCAAAATATTCCTGTTCATTTGACTGTTTTTTTTTTTTTTTTTGAATATATTTTTGTACTTTTTTTGAAATGTATTTTTGTGCACTATTGATATTTTTAATTCTCTGCTCATAAATTTTTGAGTTTATGCTAATAATTCGTTTTTGACACTCCTAATTATAATTAATATAAGTTTGATTTTTTTGCCTCTCTTAGGTAATTTTGTAAAATCGCATGGTTATTTTGGCCATAAGTATTTGGTTTCAGGTATTGTGGCAAATGTAAAGAGCATGTTGAGGCCACAAAACAACTTGTGCTGTATCGCTTGCCGCCGATCTTGATCATTCAGCTGAAACGTTTCATCTATACAACATCCGTCCTAACAGTTCATCGTCGTTCAAAAGATGATCGATCAGTGCGTTACCCCATCGATAATCTTGACCTGGCACAATATCTGGCTGATACTGCTCCCTCAGGACAGGCAAGCATTTCAAAAATTTTTCACGATTTTTTGATTTTTTCTTTTTTTGGCATTTATGCAGCTCCTAGAGTTTCTTGGTTTGTTTATGTTGATTTTTTTCAACTCCATGATCGGTAAACCTTCCTTCCGCAGCACTTTTTTTTGCCTTCATTTTATAAATATTATTGCAGGAGACAAAGTACGACTTAACTGGTGTGGTGTGTCATTCGGGAAGTAGCTATTTTGGTCACTACATATCAATGGGACGATTGCAAAGTATCGATGGCAAAACCACTGAACTTGGTCAGTCTTTTCTTTTTATTATTGATAATTCTGGTAAAAGACAACGTGCCGCTTGGTTGAGCCTTTCCAGAAGTACCGGATTTTGTAGTTTTTGGGATGTAATTTCATAGTTTAGCCAATGCTGCAAAATTTTCAGCGTTAAGAACTTGGAACTCCCTTCAGTATAAATAATTACTTCTGTTATTTGAATTTTTATTGGTTGCACTGGGTTTTTTTTATGTTTCTTACGAATTGCGCATTTTCTAGACTGGCGTACATTTGATGATTCGATAGTGTCAAGAACACA